ATGAAATCAATCTGTCTGATCCCACACCTTTTAAAGACCCTTATCGCCGAATACCACCAGGGATGTTTGAGGAGGTACGTGAGCATTTACGAGACATGATTTCCGCAGGAGCGATCCGTGAGTCCAAGAGTCCTTTTTCTTCTAATGTTGTGTTAGTAAGAAAGAAGGACGGGTCTTTGCGTTTTTGTATCGATTACCGGAAACTGAACAACCGTACAATCAAGGATGCTTATGCCCTTCCTCGCATCGACGAAACTATAGATTCTCTCATAGGTTCCACTATTTTCTCTAAGCTCGACCTACGCTCAGGTTACTGGCAGGTCCCAGTCAAAGAATCTGATAAGCAAAAGACTGCCTTTAGTGTTGGGCCTCTCGGATTCTATGAGTGCAACAGAATGGCTTTTGGTCTTACCAATGCCCCTGCAACGTTTCAGCGTCTGATGGAGCGTTGTATGGGCGAACTTCACCTTCGTGACTGTTTGATTTATCTCGATGACATTATCATCTTTTCTGATTCTATTGATACTCATTTCCGTCGCCTTCAGTCTGTCTTTCAACGTCTTGAGATGCACAATCTTAAACTTAAAGGGTCCAAGTGTGAATTCTTTAAGCCGCAAGTCCAGTATTTGGGTCACATTGTTAGTGCTGATGGTGTGAAGACAGATCCTGAGAAGATTGAAGCACTCAAGACATACCCTGTACCTACTTGCCTTAAGGAGTTGCGTAGCTTTTTAGGTTTTTCAGGTTACTACAGGAGGTTCATTAAAGACTACGCACAGATCGCCAAACCTTTGAATGACCTTCTTACTGGTATTCCCACCTGCAAAAGTTCTTCTAAGAAATCTAAAGTTCCTTTCAATTGGGGTCCAGATCAGCAGAATGCCTTTTGTTCTTTGATAGATAAACTTTCTTCTCCTCCAGTCTTAGCTTTTGCTGACTACAATAAACCATTCATTCTTAATGTTGATGCCAGTACTAGCGGTTTGGGAGCGGTTCTTTACCAGGTTGGTGCTGATGGTAAGGAGCATGTTATTTCCTATGCCAGTAGGGGTTTGAGAGCAGGAGAAAGACATTATCCTGCTCACAAACTAGAGTTCTTGGCTCTTAAGTGGTCTGTCTGTGATAAGTTCCATGATTATCTCTATGGTAATTCTGTGGAAGTTAGAACAGACAATAACCCACTTACCTATGTGTTTTCATCTGCCAAGCTTGATGCTACCAGTCACAGGTGGTTATCCTCCTTGTCTGCGTATTGACATCAACTTGCGGTACAGAGCTGGTAAAGAGAACATCGACGCCGATACCCTTTCTAGAATTCCTTCAGCTTCTTCTCTTCCTGATTCTAACATTCTCCTTTCAGATGCTGTCAAGGCTCTTTTGTTTTCTCAATCTGAAGGTCCAGGTCAACTTCCAGCTGTTGAATGTATTTCTTTTAACCAAACTGTTCTTTCTCTTAATCCCAGAGACGAGATCGAAGTCGGAAGCAGCCTTAAGTCTATTGATTGGAAGAAGGAGCAGCAAGATGATCCAACACTTTCCCGTTTAGTTCAACTCTTTGAAATTGGTCATAGGTTAACTGAACGCCAAAAGTCACGTGAAACGGCCAAGGTTCGATCGTTTCTGAAGGAATGGAGCAACCTTTACTTTAAGGATTCAATTCTTTACCGTAAAGGTACTTCAAATGGTTATCCTGTTACTCAGCTTGTTCTCCCTGAACATATGCTTGATTTAGCTTTCCAGGGTTTGCATGATGAGGCAGGACATCAAGGTTGTACAAGAACGATTTCCTTGTTCCGTTCACGTTTCTTTTGGCCTCAGTTAGAACAGTATATCGAACACAGGGTTCGAAACTGCCCCAGATGTATCCGGAGAAAGTCATTGGATAAAACGACTGCTAAGTTAAATCCTATCCAGTCGAGTTATCCAATGGAAATTGTCTGTATGGATTTTCTTTCTCTGGAGATGTCTCGGGGTGGTTATGAAAACATCTTGATCATTACTGATCACTTCACTCGTTTTGCTCAGGCTATCCCTGCCAAGAACCAAACTGCACATACTACCGCTAAACTTCTCTTTGAAAATTTTGTTTGTCACTATGGTTTTCCTAGTCGGTTCCATAGTGATCAAGGGCGAAATTTTGAAAGTGAAGTTATCCGGGAGTTGTGCAAGTTGGCCAATATTGACAAGACCAGGACTACTCCTTATCATCCACAGGGAAATGGGATGCCTGAGCGCTTTAATGAAACCCTCTTGAATATGTTGGGGACCCTGGAAGACGACAAGAAGGTCAATTGGAAGTCTCATGTTCCCGCTCTTGTCCATGCCTATAACTCTACTCCCCATTCTTCTACTGGTTATTCTCCCCACTTTCTCATGTTTGGTCGCCACCCTAGGCTTGCCATCGATGCGTTTCTTGGCATCGAACCAGACAAATCTCCTGTCAAGGACCATTCTTACGTCTCAGGTCTCCAGAACCGACTAAAATTCGCATATTCTGTTGCACTCCGAGAGGCCAAGAAACAAGGCAAGAAACATAAAAGGTACTATGACCTCCGTGTGAGAGAAGCGGAATTGAAGCCCGGGGATCGAGTACTGGTCCGAAATGTAGGTGTTCGGGGAAAATCCAAACTTGCAGATAGATGGGAGAAAGATGTATACACCATTCTCAGCCAGCCCACCTCTGGAATTCCCATCTATGAGGTGAAGAAGGAAAACAGCAAGGACAGGTCCAGAGTTTTGCACAGGAACCTTTTACTTCCCTTTATGGGGATGCCTTTGTGCAAAACAACTGAGTCCTTATACAAGCCCGCTTCCTCTGACTTACATTCGGATCAGAACTCGTTCTCCAATCCCTCCTCTGATATTTCCATTACAGCTCCGTTAGATTCAAATCCCTCACTTACATCAAGTCCATCAAATGTTTCACAAAGCAATTCTTCCACAATACATGATTCTAACAATTGTATGTCAACTTCTTTTACAGGAACATCAAACAGCAAACAAGATGCCACGTCAACAAATAAAACATCTCATTCTATTACAGGTTCTAAATATGTCATTCCTGCACTGAGAAATAAATCTAAGGAGAACAACAACAATTTACAGAGGCAGAAGCGTACTAGAAAGAAACCCGGATGGATGCTAAATGACAACTGGAAATTAGATTAATGCTTTTTCTTTTGATTTATAGTCTAGGTGTGTTTCAACTTTGAAGTTAGGCGTTGCTTAGTACCTGATGTGTTTCGTTTTATGTTTTATACCATGTACCATATATTTTACCTTGATAATTTATAAATGTACTTTACAGTACTTTAGAAATAAAGGATTTATTGTTGAGAGTGCACCTCTTCAATGAATTCACAGTTCTACTGATAAATTAAAATTTTGTTTCCGCGTGACATATATTTTTCGCGATTCGCGGCATACGGTATTTTTGTGGAACATGCTTGAGTTTAAGGTATTTTGCCCGGGTATTATATATTTACTCACAGGTTGTAATTGCCTTCAGTATTTAGATTTAGTTATGTAGTACCTAGTAGTTTAGTTACTTTATGGTCTAAGCTTACTACTTGCAATGTCTGATTCAAGCTCTTCCTCTTTAATATTTTATGAATGTCGGGGCGACATTCCCCAAAGTGGGGAAGTATGTCATGTGGTCGATATTCGTGTTTTTGAATATCGTTTTTATGTATCATTTTGTCCTTGTATTTGTATATATATCTCTTGTATTTGTCTGTTTACAGTCCGATATACACTCCATTATCCCATATCATTCCTATATCATTCCATTTCATCATCTCATTATAACAACTAATTTCTCATATTTCATTTGACATAATTTGAATGCCGGGCCTCAGTTTTTACAAACTTCCCGGAAAAACCATCTCACGCATGCGCACTTTGGTATAAATATTTCTATTGGTTTGCGCCAGAAATTGTTGTCTTGTTTATTTATTTATTTATCAAGGCGTATGTTTATGTCCTTACAGGTAATTGTTGTTATTCATTATGTTTCATTATCATGCATATTTCCATTGATCGTTTATGTATTTCGGATCTGTATTTGCGCACTTTGGTATAAGTATTTCTATTGGTTTGCGCCAGAAATTGTTGTCTTGTTTATTTATTTATTTATCAAGGCGTATGTTTATGTCCTTACAGGCATAAACGACCATTCATACATTTGAAAAGGACCATACGACATGTGTAATGTTTTGTTTTGCTCTTTTTCAGGTATACTCACTTTATAATTTGAAATAAAATAATAAACTTGGCATGCGCGAGAAAGTGTACTGATACCTCATTTAATTAGAGCACCCCAACGCGTACTGATACTTAATTCATTTAGAACACCCCAAAGTTTTACAATACTGAAATTTAGAGAACGCCGATCTTTAAAGGAAAGTTGGGGGTTCATGTCATTTTGAATTTATAAATATAACATTGATATATTGTGTGATTCCTACAGACATTACAATAAGCTTGAAAATAAAAAAAAATCATCAAAATCTATCAAAGCACTAAAAAGTTACAAATGTTGGAAGTTCGAACATTCTGTATAAATCTGAAATATTTTCCCTTTAGACTGCATACACATACACATACTGTGAAACAAAGATTAAGTAAGAATTCGGTCAAATCTATGCATATATCTTATCTCCGAACCATTTAGCGTAGTAAATATGGTATGGACGGGACATGTGTTCTTGTACTATATAAATACCAAATATATCCCTTAATCAGAGCTGTGCGGGTCAAGTTAAACTTAATAAACGTTAAACTCAAAGTTAAATATTTAAGGTCTATAAATAAGTACAACTCTTTTTTGGTCTACCAATTATATAATGCAGGTATGTTGAGAAAATTTAATACATCTAAATCTGTATGAAAGTGTACTGATCGAGTAGCCTATTGTTAACAGTATGTTCGATTGTTTCATAGCATGAGTAATGCAACACAACATTAACGAATCATGTGATTTTGTGTTAATAAACTCGCTTACCTTTTTGTGTCGCCTCTACGGAGTAGTGGCGACATATAGGGATCACTTCTCCGTCGTCTGTCTGTCCGTCTGTCCGTCTGTCCGTCTGTCTGTCTGTCTGTCTGTCCGTCTGTCCGTCCGTCCGTCACAAAACTTGTCCGGACTACTCCTCATAAACTACTGGTGCAATTTCATCCAAACTTTACAGGAATGATCAGTACCAAGTCTAGTTGTGCATATTGTCAGGATTTTCCGGTTCAATGATTTTTGTCAGAGTTATGGCCCTTTAATAATTTCTAATTTTAAAGTTTGTCCGGACTACTTCTCTTATACCACTAATGCAATTTCAATGAAACTTTACAGGATTGATCTGTAGCTCAAGTCCTTGCGCATATTGCACGGGTTTTCCGGTTGAATGATTTTTGGCTGAGTTATGGCCCTTTGATAAAAAGGTTTCTTTTTCTGTGTGTTGCCAGATACACAAAAGCTTGATCGGACTACTCCTCATAAACTACTGGTGCAATTTCATCCAAACTTTACAGGAATGATCAGTACCAAGTCTAGTTGTGCATATTGTCAGCATTTTCCGGTTCAATGATTTTTGTTTGAGTTATGGCCCTTTAATAATTTTTATTTTTAAAGTTTGTCCACACTACTTCTCTTATACCACTTATGCAATTTCAATGAAACTTTACAGGATTGATCTGTAGTTCAAGTCCTTGCGCATATTGCACGGGTTTTCCGGTTGAATGATTTTTGGCTGAGTTATGGCCCTTTGATAAAAAGGTGTTTTTTTCTGTGTGTTGCCAGATACGCAAAAGCTTGTCCGGACTACTCCTCATAAACTACTGGTGCAATTTTATCCAAACTTTACAGGGATGATCAGTACAAAGTTGTTAGTCTAGTTGTGCACTGTCCGTCTGTCTGTCCGTCTGTCACAAAATTTGTCCCAACATGAAATTGGCCATCATGAGGCGACACATGTGATTACTGATCGCTCTTGTTATCTAGTTAATATTACTTTTCAGATGGATAGAGAATAGGTCTGAGTAGATCTATATATAGATACTATATAAGGAAGTTTTAAAAAGGAAAGGAAGATACTGTTCGCACAGGCCTAATGGGTAGTGATACGGAAATAACAAACGATGTACTGGTAAAATTATCACAGTTTATTATTTTTCTAATGTTTAAATGACGATTTTTTTCTCACTATTTTATAATGTATATGACGCGGCTGTTGTACATAACTTTATGAAGTACACTGTACCTACTTATCTTTTATCTACAAATAAAGGATCATTAGTGCACTAGGTACGGGTTTAATGGAGAACCATGGTTATAATTAAAGGTTTTACTGCTTATATATATATGATTGTTAGTAATATAAATATACATGTATATAACCGTCACCCTAAAAGCTCGAGTTCTATATATGCTTACAACCGTTTTGTATACGGGCGTAACATTGACAAAATTTTTTTGTACCTGATTACATTAACTTTTCTCCAAGAAAAAGTCTTTGCAAATCATGAGATATGTTGCAGTTCCCTCTAAACCGTTTAAATTGAAAACAAATATTGGCATGCACTTGTATACAGATTAACTGAATGAAATCTTTACTAAGGGTTAGTCAAAGACATAAACAACAACAGCAAAAAAACACAAAAACTGCAGCAGTAACAACAATAACAACAATAAACAAACAAACAAACAAACAAAACTAGTAAATAAATGAAAAAAAACACATACAAAATATGTAAAAACACATGCCATCACGCACGTGCGCACGGGCAAGTACATTCACATGTGGCGGTGGTTATGGTAGTTTACCCTCCGGATCATGATGTGGCAGTAAGCCACTTTGAATTCACCAGAGCACAGGTCAGCCAACACATTCGCAGACGGAAACACAGATATGCATGAAAACTAGCCAAGTAGAGTCAAACGTATCAGGGAGACGTTGAGAAAGCGCAGGGGATCGGCAGAAGATTTGGACTTCGGCTGGAATTTTCACATTGTCTGGTCGTTTTTGTACTTATATATAGGGCAACGTCCTGGAAACATGTAAACTAGCACCACGCGTTGGAAGAATTAAGCTTCTTCGCAATTTAGGAACCAGCCGCCGATGTCCTTACTGAAAACCGGGGGGAGTGGCACTACAAACTAGGCAGAGACGACGAGTTAGGGTATTAGTGTGCGTGAGTCCCTAGTAAGAAGAAAACGACTTAAACGGCGTCGCTCTTGCGGACAACAACTGCCCTTCTACTTCATTATTGTCACAAATTTCTGAACGATATGGTGCTCATTGACCGCTGTACAGTGATTTGTATGTATTTGCGACTCAAAATTCATTTCTTTGGCTAATACTTTAAAATTTATCAACAAAATGTGTTTTAAAATGAATACTTTAAGGACATGACTGGTGACAAGTTCGGGGTCCGTACTTGCCAGCGAAAACTACAGTACTTTTAATGCCTTAACGGGCGGATAGAGCCTCACTAAATACGTGTCAGAGGTATCTTTTGAAAACAGAAATATCTTATTGCGGCGCTTTAATGTTACATGTTGGGATAAGTTCAACATTTAACAAAATAAGAATATATTTAACTAAAGTACTGTCTAGTATTACCACGCATTTGATACGCCTTTCTTTTTTTTCTTTTAGAAAAACGAAAATGACTCTGATCGAAAAGACGACAACACGAAGCAACAGGGTGGCCTGTATCAAATATTTCACCGGTTGAAGAGCGATGAGGCATTTCGTCAACAAATCGTACACACTTTAATTCTTGGGTGGTCATTTATAGGCTTGGTAATACTTTTTTATTATACTCATTTGGACACAACGGTTGCCCCTGAGCATGACCGCCGGTCCGTCTGTATGTCTGTTTTTTTGTCAAGCTTTTTTCTCAGCGCAACCATTAAATGGAAATTTAAAATGAAAACACTACTTCCAAGAGGAGCTGTGCATTATAGTCGAGCCTCTATCGATTTTATTGAATTTCAAAGCAGATCATTTTCGATTCAGTTATGTCACTGAATTCTAAATAGCCTAGCAAGAGGAGTATAAATGCCTCGTAGGATATGGGCACCTTTTTATTGGCAGTCCATACAAAAATGTAAGCTTTTTAATTCTTTAGATACAATCGAATATAACTATTTTAAATCGTTTTCTTGCAGGGTTGGTCAGCAGGTATGAATGGACCTGTATTTCCTGACTTGAGACAAATAATACAAGAAGATCTTGCAAAATCATCGTGGATGTTTACAACCGGATCATTTGGGTAATTTCTTGTTTATTTTGTGTTGTAATTACGTTTTGAGAGTTCCTTGATTTTGACGATTTTGATTTTGTCTCGACGTATTGAGATGAAATAGTTGAACATCAACGCTATATTGTGACGTTAAAATATTTACGTGAAGGAATGGCGTCATGATGTCACGACGAACAGTCCCGCATACGCTATGCCTTGTGTATATCTACCAAGTGTAGATTCTGATTCAGATGCCGAATAGTTGTTCAATTTGCTTAACTTATTCAATAAAAATGCATTCTGGTCCTGGTAATATTTGTTTTTGTAACTATTCATTTTACAGCAGTAACACAAAAAAAAACAACAACAAATATTAACTTAAATCTTGCACACCCGTCGTATACGTGTTATCTATGTCTCCAGAAATACTAATTAAACATGTCATGATAATATTTCGTTACCACGAACGACTTTACTTAGTATTTATCCTAATAGCTACCTCGCAATTCAGCGAGTAATATTTTCCCGGGGACGAGCCCAATATATGGCTTACTCTTTCCCCCTCGACATAGGAATAACATGCGCCTCGCGTTATTAAATAAACTGGTCTAACCAGTTTATAACGATGCGTTTCTATAACCGTTATTTTGTTTTTAACATTGTCATTCGTTTTGTGCAATAATTTGGCAAAGGTGCATGAAAATAATTATTGATAGCCTACAATATGATCTTTTACGTCTGATACACACACAGTAGTTCTATATTTTCATTTTGTTCATAGATATCTCTGCGGTTCATTTATTGGTGGGATTTTGTATGACAAATTGAATAAAGTGCTTTTGCTGGCCGTGTCTTCGTTTGGCTCTGGTGTTTCGATGTTACTTACGCCGTATTGTTCATCACTAGCTGCAATGTTGTTCATTAAATTTGCTGGAGGGTTTTTCTTCGGTGGTCTTGATACAGGTATGTACATGTATGTGTATTTTGTTTTTCTTCATCTTTATTCCAGAGTTTGATATGATAAGTAGGACAATTTCTAGGTTTTTACCAAACTAAAAACCTTGCCCGTCGATATTTGAATTATTATTCGGAGGCAATGCACTTGCTAAAAAAGGTCTTAAAGTCCAACACATTTTCACTTGGAAATATAACATGCAGACAAACTATTGTATAGTATGATAAATGCCTAAAATTACTAGCAGGTTCTTGCCAAATTTCATCATGGTTTTATTTAATTTGCAGTTTCTTTACATAAAAATATTGCATAATGAAAAAAAAAACTTCATTTTTTACAAAAACATGCTTAACAAATTCGTATATTTCCTAGGTGGTAATGCTGACATTATACATGTATGGGGAGCAGATGTCGACACATATATGCAGGCATTGCATTTTGCGTTCTCCATCGGGACGTTACTGTCACCACTAGCAACAGAGCCATTTCTAGCAGGAACGTTTGTGACATGTTACGAGAAAACTAATATTACTGTTGAGAATGCAACCAATGAATTTTATCCAGCTACTACAAACGCAATGACTGATAAATCTACCACAGACACGCCGGTAAAGGAAAATGTTACCTTAGACAATTCTTCAATATTACAAATTTGTAACGAAAACTTAGAGGAAACAAATGTGCATCATGCTTTCTTAATGTCCTCATTATTCATGTTTTCAGCGACTATTTGTTACATCTATCTTTATATTAAAACACAAAGAAACAAAAAGAAAATGACAACATTACAAGCTAAAGCAAACAGCGATGGCGACAAAAGTGACAAACGAAATGAAATGCCAATATATTTTAAGATTATTTTTCTATCTTTACTTTCGTTACTGATTTCCTCTTACTGTATTGCAGAGGATAGTTTTGCAGGTTTTCTCATGACATTTTCGCTTGATTATCTCGACTGGGATAAATCAACGGGCTCCTATGCTACATCCGTGTTCTGGTTCACCTTCTGTGCTGGACGTTTCTGTGGGATATTTATTGTGTCGTGTTGTAAAAATTCGACATTGCTGACAACATACCTTTGTTTCTTTACATTATCCTACATTGCTTTTACAATTACTACATTCTTTAAGTTATTTCCATTAATTTGGGTTTCTATTGCTGCTTTAGGGTTTTCTCTTTCCGTCATTTTTCCCGCCGTTTTTAGTTGGACATCTGAGCACATAATCCACGTTTCTGGTAAAATTTCTGCTCTCTTTCTCGTTTCTTCCTGTTTATCAGGGATGTTACTCCCTCTATTGATAGGATTTTTGATGGAATATTTTCATCCAATGTGGTATTCCTACGTCTTACTCATTACGGCCTTGTTCTGTGTAGTTTGCTACGTCAGTATAAGGGCCGTAAAAAGGTTTTGTCTCAAGACACAAAATCATCCCAAAGTGGCAGAAATTACGGTTGATATTGAAATGACTTTATTAGAAAAATAGATAATGGAGCAGCAAATATTTACGTTTCGGACATAAACCTACAATTTTTTTAAAGTTAAGTATTTCAGGGCTTTGAAAAACTTCAACAAAGGAAGTCTTTTTGTTATTTATACTTAGACTTTAGACAAATTATTTTAATTTCCTATATTTCTGTTGAATTTGTAAAGATTGTTATTGTTTTTTTTCACTTCAACTTGATTTGGTATATTTGTGTAAAGGTTATAAATTGTTACCCTCCACATTGGCTTTCCAAAAGTACTATTTATTTTATAATAAATATTTGAAAATAGTCCTGAGTCTACTTAATAGACCTGATAAAAAGTGCAGCAGAGAGACATGTCAAATAATATCAATGAATATGATATATAAATGATATCAATAAGCTTACATCTTCTTACTTTTGAATAATATATGATTTGTCAGAGAGTTTAAGAAAGAGGAGAATATGCGGAACCAGCAATAAGTAGAAGGAACTTAACAGCCTCAACAGCATTCAATAAATTACTTTCAGTTGAAATCGTATTTTGTTATGCTTGCAGTTATAAATCAAAAGTAAACTATCTTCAAATTTATGTTTTGTCAACTTTTAATTTTGTAAGATGTACCTATAACTTGGTAATTCATACACCTGTCTCCACTTGCCCTCCATTACAAGTCCTCCTTTCCTATGTTACTTATCCAATCCACGCCCTCATGATACATAAGAGTCGGTTATTTCCCCTTTCGTAGCCACTTGCAACTGATCTGATGCATAATAGGTATGTCCCTCCTTCACGTACCTACTCTTCACCTCCCTGAAGCATATGAATAAATACATCCCTTTATATGCTCCAGTCGTACTTATGCAAAACACTCACTACTTCACTCTGTTACCTAGCCACTCTGATACTGAAGAGCCGGTACATCCTTCCCTTACTTAGCCACTCCCTACTACAAAGTCCATCCCAATTATGTAACAAGTAAAATGGTTTCCTGCGGCGAACATTTTTAATGATATAAAGATATTTCATTTAACTATTTTCAATAAATAAACGTTTGTACCAGGAATAAAATTGACAATAATCGATCAATATAGAAGAAGGTCTTTGGAAACTGGTGACCGTTGAAGACCTGAGACCATAAAACAATTATTTCTTTTTAAGAAAATGATTAAATACCATTTTCTGAATAATTCCGAGCAAAAAAAAAAAAATAAAGTAAACACACAAGTTTACGCAGAAAATATCTCTTTTTAGTATGGCAGATGCCACTACGAATATTTTAATTTTGTAGATTTTCAGTATAAACAATTTATTGTTTGTAAAATTTGAGATAGATATTAAAGAAACATTGATACTTTTCAAACACATCATTCAAGTTTTTCCACCTTAAACGGTAAAATAATTATAGAAAATTAAAAATATCACGTAATAGTTTTTTGTTGTTAATTAGGTGTAATTCGGACTAATTCCCAAGAGGTAAATCCGTAACGTACCGGCAAACGGTATTTAGCTAGGTTTTCGAAAAGGTCAATTAACCAATCATGTACGGTTAAGTGATCACATGCTCCTCCATGTACCGAAAACAGGTCACGTGCTCCTCCATGCCTCAAAAGTTAAACGCGTACCAATACCCTGCGGTCTGAAGACCGCAAGGAATGACAACGAAATAACAATAAAATCATTTGACTTTTAAAATATCTTTATTTAAACAGCAATCATATAGATATCGCAGAAAAGAATGGTACTGAAGTACAGAAATGTTTGAATATATATACAAAAATCAACAAACAAGGACGGAATGTTATTCTGTATAAAATTCTTACCTAAACAATTCTATAAAAATAACTGACACATATAAAAATAACTCAAACTATGTGATTTTAAAATTATAATCCTTTAACAAGTAGTCATATGTATGATTGTGAGAATCCCTAATGGTTTATGTTGTGGATATTGAATGAACGGGATAGAAAGATTGTAAAGTAATACATTTTGTATTGAGAAAGCAAAACTAAAGAAAACCCTTATTCCCGGAAGCACAACTCACATGAAACCCTCACAACATACGTGTTAAAAAGTGTAATTGAATGCCGGGAACATGAATTTATACAGTAAAATGAATGAGCATTACGCATTATCCAATCGTTTATATTCTTTTAGATTGGAATTCAAAATGAAATAGTTAATTTAAAAAGATGCTTTTAAAAGTCTTGCTTTAAACATAAATATACATTAAATGCCTTTTGAAACAGGTAAATAAAAGTAAATAAAATGAGAACAGTGTCAATGTAGGTAAGACACTTTGTTAATATTTCGAAAACAAATACAAAAATTATGCTTGTGAAAAAATTTGGTGGATGAATGTATACATATATATTTTTAATAACAGTTACATATACCTAATACTAATAGTTTGATACCAAAGATCGCTTTAATAGATGAACATTCGAAAATAAAATCACCTGAGTTTGTAAACTTTAATAATGGATACGTAATAAAAAACATTAAATTGTCATGTAATGGTGGTTGTTACAATGGTATTGTATTTTTGTGGTAATGTAAAAGGGCAAATAGTTCTGGGTAAAAGTCAAATCTTGGGTAAAATAAATTATACATTAAAATTTTTGGAAAAAGTCAATCTTAAATCATCATGGGTAAACTGTCAGGAGCACAATATTTTTTAAACCAAAAAAACGTAAGGCTTGTAAACCCAAGGGGAATGACAAAATATTTTTAATAAAGTTAATTATGAAAAAAAGTCTTTACATAGGAGACAAATTCTTTGAAACAAAAATTGTCACAGTTGTATGTCTAAAGACTTACTTTGACTTTCCATGTAAACTTTCCACGAAGCGCACGCCATACCTTTTTCATTTTGATTAGAATTAACGTAAGCGACACGTTACATTACAGGTAGATTCAAAATGATCTTCCCCACAAGCCCACGTGTCTTTATCAATCATAAAAAAACTTATATAGAAAGTCACATTTTAAGAAAAATACAAATGTAGCTATAAATAACAACATTAACAGTCGACAGCAAAAGCAAAGTTTACATACTATTAGTGAAAATCAACTACATAACATGTCAGAAATGCGTAAAAAAGATCAGCGTTTTGCTTATGAGTTTGACAGGTGAGATAAAAGTGGGGAAGCGTGCGTGCAAATTCCAATATACATATCAGTAACTTGCCGAGTTTTCAAAGAAAATATAACAACGTGATATCTCAATTTGGTGACAAAGCTTACTGGAGTTTAAGACCCTCAGGCTTTGTTTTTGTTATAGCGTCTTTATATGTTGGCTATTTCCACGTGAGTATAAAGATCAAACACTTCAAAATAAGATCACTTATGTCAACACAAAGGAGTCTAAAAAGAAGTGTTAAAAGTAATAGCTACTAAGCCATTGGTAAAAATCAACTGTTCCTAATTAAAAATCATTTTGATAATAATTTAGTAGAACTATGCACGTCAACAGGTCATAACTGGGCAGAATTTTACAATAGTAAAATTTGATGCAACAATTTTTGGTTACGAATATAAAATTTTATTTTTCATCAAGATGATAAACTACTATAATATTAATGATATACTATCCTCATTTTTGAGTAAAATAAATTTCTATCAGATTGTTTTGCAATTTAGGCAATTTTACAGAATATGTCTAATTTGAATAGGATAATAAACAAATTATGTTTTGGGGAGTTGCATTTCCTATTACTGGTCCAGTTCATTTGGTCTCTTCTTAAAACAAGACATATCATTGATGAATAGTTAATAAAAGAACATAAAACAGAGACCATAGTCCTGTAAACGTGTTTAGGAGACCTATCTTGGTGCGTACCGAATTATCATAAGAAATGAAATCTTTATCAATGCCCATGCAGTAACAATATTCACACATAGAATATTTCAATGCAATACTTAGAAGCAGTCTTCAATAAAAACATGTTTTAGGTATAACATGTTTAGCATTATATGTTCTTACTTTTTAAACATATCATGATTGATCAAGATTTCAAGATATCAATTTCATTCCAATTTTGGCAATGGTAGACATTATATATAAACATTTCAATAAAGTTAAAGGGAGACACAGGCAAATTGTCATTTCTTTGTGTTTTTTTCCATTCATTATTCTGTAAATGTCCTCAAAATACAGGTTAGTGCGTTAAGATTTCACAAAAGTTGTCACATTGAACTGATGAAACGTTAAAAAAAAACATGTCAAAGAAATGACTTAGACTTGTTTCAATCTTACAATATCCACAATATCTGTAATGGTAGCTTCCAGGGTTTGTTCAAGTCACAAGGCATGTTTTAAAACTACTCGGCGATTCTGTCATCGTCTAAATTTCGTTTGATATATTTTGATGCATTTACGCTTCAAACCCATAATATGTAGAATTTATACAGAAATTCATGCTGGAACTTTGGACTTTAAAAAATGTCATTTTAGCGTACATTAGATCATTTTCATATTTTTGTCATTCATTTGTCTTAGTATCTTATTTAGTCTACTGTACGGTACACTATTTTATTTTAAAGTCTACTGTACGTTACACTATTTTATGTTTTTTACTGTAAGGTACATGCTTTTGAGCCACTAGCTCCACCCCCTCCGCCTTCTTGTACAGTCGCATGAGTTTGAACAGGGCGCCCTGGTGGTACACGTCCTGCTAGCAGGGCTTCAACATCCTGCATCTATAAATATAGTAAAAGTGACCTTTTGAATATTAAAGTGTGAGAATATTTTAAAGGGACTCCACCGAGGTTTTATGACATGATGGGACTGAAAATAACTTTTCCAGATAAATGTACCATTTGATGAGGGTTTAGACCACTAATCCAGGTGCAAAATTTCAGATAATTCGCGCAATTCGTTTTTTCCGGAATAATAATTCAAATCGTAAAAAATGACCCAAAATGAAAAGCGTTTAAACGCTTTTCACTCAAATCGGGCTAAGAAAAGCATAAAGATACATTATGCAATTTATTTCAAACTATATTTCTTAACTATCTTTGCATATATTTCTGTTTAAAGTGTCCCAGCTCATTTATGTAAGAAATTCAAATGTTATGTTTTAGGCTTTATACCTCAGTGGAGTCCCTTTAATCTGTTTATTATTTGACATTGCGGTTGGATGTTATTTTGTTATTTCTTATATAATATTTCAAAATATATAAGTTGGCATTTGTTATGATTTTATAGATTAAAAGACTGCTACAAACTATATGATTTCAAGATAAAAAATCAAATAATAATTTAAAGATCTTTTCAAATAATAAGATGTTAACGTTGCTTTTGATGCGTGGCTAGGGGTGGTGACAGGTGGTGATATAAAAATCTTGATTTGAGATAATAAAACATATATACATACATGGAAAGTAATATGACATACTTAAGTTATATCATTTAAGATCGAAAACAAGCTGATAAAAACCTCAAACAAATTGTGTATATTGCAATATACCAAAAACAAGTTTGAACATACATAATTGCTGGAAATATGTCATTATTTCTTTATGTGTATCATGAAAAATGAGAGTGCAGGAGAACCAAATACATGACCATGACTGAAGGCAAGTTATTCTGACAATATAGATACTTTCTTACTAACAACCTTGACTAGCAGTTCCACTTTTAACGGCTTCCTACTGTTAATACTGAACATTATAGCCAATCAAAAGAAATGTACAAACATACCATCAATGCGTCATGTCCCATTGCCTTCCTCTTCTTTAAGTAGTCATAAATATTACTCTGTACAAATAAAAAACATAATAAAACAGTCAATCAACTTCTACGGCTATAGTTTTAACTTCCTGCAGAAGTGACTTATTTTTTATAAATGGTAAAAAAGGCAATATTAGCATCCACACCAACATAGAGTCATTCATTCAAAGAATAATCATTATCAACACTGATGGTAGCTTAAGTGTGCTAAATTTAATTGGTATCACAAATTTGATTCCATTACACAAATAAAGACTAGTAAAATTAAATTATACCAGTTTTTTGTCTGATTCGGCAGCTTGCTTCTTTAACATGTTTAAAGTAGCCATTTCTTTGACAATGTTATCACTAACTGTGGATGGTGGGGCTCCATGTTTGTTACTGGATACACCGCCTTTTTCATCTGTCTTGTCTTTAAGCTTTGGTGCAACCTGCACCAAAAACAACATTTCTATATCATATTCACTGAACATGTTTATTTATCACCTGGTATCAATTGATCTAAAAGTAACACAGTATCACATTTCATGCACTGTACTATTTACCTATTTTATATAACCAATGGCAAAACGTTTTTACACCACGTTGTCGTGCAGAAATTATACAATTATAATCCAGTATTTGTTCGTAAACGCTTTTGCAATGCTCAGCAGAAAATATCCTAACATGTTTGACTTGCCTGGTGGCTCCTCTAATTTCAATTCAGTTGTATACTAATTAAACTATGTTTTCAATTATATTGCCATATACCTTCATAGATATAATTCTCTTGCTACTGAGTCAAAACGGCAATGTCTGACTTATCCCTTATGAGTATCATAGGGCAACAATATTTCCATTGACTGATTGTTCCATGAACGTGAAATAATTTGGCCATTTAAAAATGTAATTTAATCCAGATACAAGAAGATTCAGGGAACTGGGAAAACCCTATGTAACGAAATCATCATTTTAATCATCGTTCTTAAAAGAACTTAATAATAAAAAACTACTTCCGTTGACAAGAAAAGCAATTAGATAATCAATTTACTATAGCCTTTCCTTTGCCCATTATGTCTTTCTGTCGTCCCAAGACTTCAATGCATAGAGATGAAGTGTTAAGGTAGTCAATAAACTGTTCTGTCACAGATTCTATTGTGATCTTTTTCTCATGTTGAAAGTCTGGGTTGATCGTTCCTGCAATCTCCTTTGTGTGAGTGTAGTCCTGATCCATGTAAAACTTATATCTACAGAAACTCTGAAATGTATCCAAAACAAACCTAATTCATGAGGATTTCAGCTCAAATTAACAAGAAAGCAACGTCAAGAACCATTGGCAAAAGCAAGTAAGAAGTTATTATGTGAAATGAAAAAAGTGTATGTGCTTGATGATATTGAAATTACGTAATCATTGCATAAAATTCAGTTTCAGACATTTACAAGGTCACATGTCAATAATGTGTCCACAAAGATTAGTGTTGGAGGCACTATTCGTTATAGCGTTTGCACCGGTGCTAGAATTTGATTGACAAAAATTCTGGAAATTACTTTTTGGGCCATAGGATTGCAGTATTTCAATAAATGGATAATAGATGTTAAGTAATACACTCACTTAAAACAATGACAGTATAATTTTAATATTTATTTCGTTAACATGGTTTGACTATACAGTTTTATTCATTACAAACACTTTATGATAGACAACGAAAATAAAAAAGAACATATTTACCTAAACAAGTCATAGGCTGTTTATGAAATAATTTTAATTCTTTATTGGTTAAGCGGTATGTCATGCTCATGACCAATTTATTTGATAAAATGCTTACTTATGAATACTAATCATTACTTCATGACGTCATTCAACAGTTCTTGTAAATTAATTTGAAACGCTGATGAACGCTAGAGAATCAAACTGCCTGCCAGTGCAGAATATGTGGTGACTTGCTACACTACATATTTACGCTCAACCTGTTACCGCCCTATATATTTACGCTCAAATTTGATCTAAAATCGGTAATGGAAGCCAGTAAAACCTTCTAATATTAGATAAAACCATGCTGAAACACTGTTTAGCTCATAAACTAGCGTAATAATTGAAAATACATTTTATAAGCCTTTTCTTTCTTTGGACATGGACACAATAGCCGCTTAGATTTATACCATAAATAAACTTAGGGATATGAAAATGTAACCTTGTCAATATTTGATGGTAGACCTCTTGCTGATTTTATCACGATCTTGCAGTAAACTGGTTTTCCTATCTGAAAAAAGAGACAAATGTTTTACATGAAACATTATGGGATATGAATGCTACCTGCAGTTTTTAAATTTTTTGTTTTAGTTGAAAAAGAGCGAATGGTGCATGCACGATATTCTCTAGTTGAAATGCTAAAATTCTACTTTAAAATGCAGAATAATATTTATTTGAATAACATTTTATTATATCAAGGAATAATATTCACGTGTTAAATAAGAGAAACATTTTAATCTGCTCCTGTTTCGAGAATCAACAACAAGATTGTAGAAACCACATGCTTTTACTGTTTTTATTATTATGTAATTTATTATATTTTCCTTTTTTTATTTTAAGATAAAACATTTCACCATTTCATTAGTTTGATATTTTTGATATAGGCCATTCTTTTGGATGGCATATGTTTAAGTAAAAAATGCACAATTTACAAATTACTCATCTTGAGTTATTGAAATTTTGTACAAACACACAAAAGACAGTCCGCTACATTAAAATAGAAAACGTGAGGCATTGCTCTCGTTGATAAGTGAATTTCTGTCTTTGAAATAAGCTTACTTTCTATGAAAATATCAGATTAGTCACAAACGATGTCGGTGATCTACAAATTACTTTCGATTAAATAATTTTTGCTCTCATACACTAAGACCTTGAAAGTGCACATTATTTCTGTTTTGCAATTTTTTATCTACTCTGTGTCAATATGTATATTTATTGACAGAGTCTAATTTACCAATTCTTTTGGATCGTCTACAAAGTCATCCTCTTGGAGAGGTATGAACTCTTTGGTACACGGTATAATAGCGACGTCAAGTTTGCCTTGGTTGTTTTTCTTGTTGTCGTGGATGTCGACTCTTTCTTCCAGGTCTATATTGTACGCTATCGACTGAAGCAGGACCTTAGTGGTACCTATCAATTTCTCAAGATCTGCTGGTTCCCAAAATGGATCTTTGTCCTTCATTATAGATTAATCACAAAGAAAATTTTAATCTTCACTTTCTTGTCAACTCTTAGCACATGTATTTATCTCACTTATAGTATTTCTGTTATACTTTATAGTATTCTGTTATACTTGACAACAGTTTCAAAGAAACACTCCTGTAGGTTGCTTGCCAAATGGGGTTTTGACTGACTTAATATGCTTTATTGAATAAGAAATGTAGGCACACGAAATTTAAGAGGATATGCATGCATGTTAAATTTAAATCAATTGGTACAATAATTGAAAACAAAAACATAATAAGACAATAGCATAATTCATGAAAAAAAATCTTTTATATCATACTTACTGACTGTACTTACTTACTGGAGGAATTATCTAAACAGTTATAAGGAGATATTTCAGTTACAAACCTGTGGGACGTCCCAGTCTGGGTCACCCTTAATATAGTTCTGGTACATTTCCTGCATGAGGAACTTTCTTTTAATGAACTTGTTTCTGTCCCACATCCAATCATTCCCACTGCCATCCAAAGCAATCATCTGTATCAGTATCTGGTTAGTAAATTACACCGAGTAAATTTTTTTTCTGAATAGCTACGGAGTAAAGATCTAAATGAATTTATTTCAAGATAAAACAGTAAGGTATGGTTTTAATTTTACAACAAAGCGTTTATCAAAATACTAGTCAGCATCATTCTACGCTAACATAAATATCTATCCTTTAAGAAATTAGTAGTGTTATTTATACGGAAGCCCTATAGGGACATTTATTATTCAAAACTTATTACCTATTATTTATAACCTATCACTTACTATTTACAGATTATTACTATATTTAGTATTGAAACGCGCCTTGTTTGGCAGGAAGAAAACTATGTTTACATTAAGAAAATTAGCGGAAAAGATGAAGTAGAACATTATTTATAGAAGGTCATATCATATGGAAGCCCTGGAAGGAAAATGATTATTTATTACTTATTATTATTACTTAACATGTTTAACATAATTATCAATTATAACATATTACTTATTAATTAAAACTTATTATTTATCACTTATTATTTTTTTCAGTCGAATATTTCTTAAAAACATAATAATTTAAGAATTATTTAGTTTAAACATATTTATTGCATACATATACAAAATCCGTACATTTGAAATTATGAACAAAACGCCTTTTGGTGCAAGGCGAAATGCAAGCTGTGAATATTTCAACTATTCTTGATATAGGAAAATAATCTTAACTATGTGAACTTATTTTGCAAATTATTTAATGCAGTTGCGTATAACATATCGTATTTCCAAGCTTGTACACAAAATAAACATCTGAAATGTGTAAAATTACATGATATAAGTGTGCACACATTGAATGACACTGCAATGACGACAGGATAAGCTAAAAGTTTAACCCTGACTACATTAACATAATTATTACTTTATATAAATGAACAGGCTGTAAGTGAAACACGCACATTTTTCGCTTAAAGAACCTTTCTTGTTTTTACACTATTGACTGTATTTAAAATCCTTTATTTGAATTATGTCCTGTATGACGAAGGTTTCCGATTTTCTAAGCAGATATTTATATAAAATGGAAATATGGGACTTTTTTCGAAACATCAATAGATAGTTACCTATAAAACATTCGTCGCAAAGAAGTTCTTCTGTATAACAATAGAGTATACATTTCGTTTTGATATGCTTTGAGAAACATGACTACATGTTATTTAAAATTCGAAAACATGTACTTTATATGTCAAAACTTACTGAAACAGTAAGCTCTACATTAAAAAACCCTCAAGTCTTTGCATGTTTCTTCATGTCATACCTCGAGATTGCCGTCTTTCTGCCCTCTGGCATCAGGTGTGGTACTAATCATCTCAAACTTGACGCCTTTCTTCAGTTCCGTAGCCATAGAATTAGCATCACCAACCATTTGTAAAACCTGTACATAATCTTGTTCTGTTGGTTCTGCAAGATAATTAAAACAACTGACAGAAGTTCAGCCTCTGAATTTCCTCAAAATTATACTTGTCCATCTTCCATTTTTGAAAACAGTTTTTTTTTCGATTTTAGGATCACTGATTTGATATCTTAGTGCGTAACATGCTTTGAAACGTATTAAACTGCATTTTAATTATTTTCATTTCACAATTGGGTATATATAAGCAAACTGAATTGTTGAGCAAAACACTCTAGACTTATTGATTAACATTTTCTAATTAATATCATCATCATCAACACCATCATCATTATTGTAATCATGATTGTTATTTACTGTTATCATTATTATAAATTATTATTATTATTATCTTGAAAAAAAAAGAAATCATAGAAAATCAAATAAGTTTTGATCAAATAATTCCTTTAAACCACTCTTGTGTGACAAGAAAAAGAACATTAATTTGAAGAGCAGATACTATACTGAAGTTCAACCAAACATGCACATGGAAATAAATCAAAATAATATCAGGGGTAGAGATATTTAAAATGCTGATGTAACAGGTGAATAATTTACCTATAATAGTTTTGAAGGTGTCTGAAAATGTTCAATGGGAAAACAAAATATTTATTCATACGTTCTTAGCAGAACAAATGTACACTATTGACATTCGACATTCAGAGCGCTTTTAGCATATTTAAAACAATTTTCATCATCAAACATGGTACTCAACTGGGTAAGATAAAAGTGTTGCAATTCAAGTGATATAAAGAAACATATGTTACCTAAATCTTCGGTGGTTTCAAGAACATTGAAACTTGGCTTTGTGTTTTTTGTAGCCATTGATTCTAGAAATTCTACTAATTTTTGCTTTGTTTCACTAGGGACAACCATTTTCTCAACTTCTTTTAGTAACTTAATATAATCTAGAGGTTCGTCTATATACTCTTTCTTCATTTCAACAATCTTTATCGCCAAACTCTTATCAAATGTTAGAACGACAAAAGCTTCTTCAATGTTTTCTATGTGTTCTTCATATGATGGCTTATCTAATTTGGTGTCTCCTTGCCTTTCAAGTAGATCTTTGAGAACATTTTGAGCAACTCCTAATTTTGTCCTTTCTTTCGGTGCCAACAAGGCCCGAAATAGTGCGGGTATTACGCATAGGTACAGATTTGCATTCCATTTATCCATATTTGTTTTTCCATCGCCAGGAAATAATACATCTAAATCGGTCTCATTCAAGATCCCATTCTTTCTTAGTTGGCCTTCAATTTTGTTTAAGTTTCCATCATATACATATTGTAAGTCTAATTTTTTTGAAACCATGCTTCTTGACAGAAATATTACTCCTTTATTCAGGTAAAGAAAAACTCGCCAGTAAAGTTTATGTTCCTTAGTCGCCATTTGTCGATCAAAAAGTGAAATCGCTGAATCTTTACCGTTATCCTGAAAAAGATGTAAACTTTACCAGTACAATATCAAGCATTCTAACAAGAGCCGCATTTTTCCCTATTGAACATAGAAGAACCGAAAGTGACTGTGTGTTATTATGCAATAAATCACCGTTAACGTTCATTATTTAGACACGTGACGTTATAATTATACATGCGACGTAACCATTAAAAATGCGACGCGCTGAAAATAGGTACGAAAACAAATCAGGCGCAATTTAGTTTAATATCAGTTAAGACGGCATTTATTTGTTGAAAAAATATATTTAAATCTGTGATTTTATGGCTTGATAGCATCACTGTTTGTCGTTCAGATGCGCATCATTATATTCGAACATCAAACAGTGATTTTATTGAGCAATACAATCACAGTTTGGGAAATCTTATTTCTTAATTGACAAATCAGTTCAAAAGAAAGAAAGTCCCTCCCTCCCCACAAAGAAAACCCATAACCCCCCCCCCCCAAAAAAAAACCCCACAAAAAACAACAAAAAACAACCCCAAACAAACCCATAACCCCCAACAACAACAGAGAAATGTGAAAAAACAACAACACCCCCCCCCCCGAAATCATGCTTAACAAAAAATCGTTGAAATTACCTACATGTACGCTGCTTGAAGGTCCACGTTGATGTCGTTTAACAATGTTACGTGAAAAAAAAAGAAAAAAATCAAACAAGGATAATAGTAATTACATAACAAACCGGAAAGTTAGCCCGCCCTTTTAATCATTATCCTTTATAACAACTTAAGATAAACTCCATACATTCATTTTCCTAATTTAGTCTTAGTCTACTTAGAATAAAAGTCACCTCATTCGTATATTATCATCGGATGCAGGCACACGTAGCTACATAATTTCTCTTCATTTCTTTATAAATATTAGTATAATGCAATAATTGTAAAACTGTTTTCAATGTGGAGGAAACATACTTGGTTTTATCAGTTTTGTCAGTGAAATTGCTTAGATAATAGACCTTTTACGACGCGATCCGTTGCTATGGAAAATCGACCGGAAGGAGGGCATTCTAAAATAAATCAGAACACGTTATAATGCATTTTATGTTTTCAATTTACCTAACTTTATCCTTTATACGATTTGACTGTGATGCCAAACAGAAAATATTTAAGTTATATAAATATATTTACATAATTTTTGAAAATCTTGAGAAGTTAAGATGTGTAGTGAAATAACGCACATTTTATCCGGTTCCTCGTAACACATGTAAATTCCATCATACTATTCACTATTTGTCACTTTACAAAATTAATAAACATTGATGAGATTGGTATTATGTAAATAAAGTTACTTAAATTACGATTTTTATATTTTTACGTGATTAAGTTTGACATTCCGCTTACAAAGGAAGTGTACTATACCAACAGTTACATATTGTTATACAGGGGTAATACAGGGGTAATAAAATGAGATCTTTAACACACTGCTGTTTTAAATCAAATAACTGATGAAAAAGACGTCTAATGATACCTTAAACAAAATACTTTTATATGCGCTTTTTAATCATGGAATTATTAGTTCTGCATATGTTCGTGTCTCTGTTATCAATATTTAATTTATCAATATCTAATTTCAATTCACGTTTTAAGGAATTACCGCTTTAAGTCATTCCTAAATTACTGTTTTTGTTATTTGTCGTTTTTGCGTTTTGCCCTTCGAAGAAAACTGTTTATGAAAATCATATTTGAAAAAGACAATTTAATTGTGTATAAAATCGCTTCTTCAATGAAATTCTGATCAGTTTTCCTGTAAATTCAGGCATATCTTTTAAAATCTCGTGAAAAAAAAGCAACAAAGGCGAGGCAAGGACAGGATAAGTGTCGTAGTTATAACCTAGCTCCGTCTATCTAATGTATAGTCTTATTGGCATGCTATTGTAAATCTTATTTTATTTTTTATATGTGAGAATATTTATAAAATGTAGATGTTATTAATCTAAAGCTTATGTGGGTATTATTTATATATATGCTGTAAAGAAATTACGGTTTTCTTTAAAAAACATTATAATTAGATTTTTTCCAGATATCAACAGAAAAGGCACATATTTCTAATGTTCAGTACGTTGTGCGTAAGTATTGAAATAGCAGGAACTTACCAGATATTTTTGTCTGTTACAAAACACACAGTTGAAAATAAATGTTTACTTTATCGAAATAATTTCAAGATGACATCCATTTTGGCTACACTGTATTGCTTGCCTTTTAAGTATTAGTTTCCTTACATACCTTCACCAGACAATTTTAATGTAACATTTAGATAATGACCGCCATTCAAATCCTTATGAATTCTAAAAATAATTGTTGCATGAAATAACACCCTAATAAACATGGTAGAGTATATCAATTTCGAAATGGATCGTTTGATTGTTTGAAATGTGGTATTATACCGCTTCGCTTAACAATTTATAATACAATTAATAGCTCGAACGATAAATTTTAAAAAAGTTTAGTCAGAGCATGTAAACAATAAGTAAATTGATATCTAATGGTAGTTTTCATATGTTTTTAATACACCTTTTTTGCTCTTTTATTTTTTTTGCTATGAAAGTGGAACGAAAGTGCCACAAAAAATCTTAACCATTTAAATATCTGGTTGAATGTTGAATGATATATTAAGCATAAATATTTAAAATTGAATGGGAGTAGTAAAATGGTCTCTCTACTACTAATGAGAGAAATAAATGTTATTTTTTACTTGACTTGTAAAAACATGCATTTTGACTATCATAAGTTTGAACTTCACGTAGGCAAAGAAAAACAGTCTCTTGTCTTATACATTAACAAGAAATCTTAAGAGGTGAGTCAGTTTCAAATAGATCGCCAAATTGAAGATCATTGTCTTAAACTAGAAGTTACAACTCGGAAATAAAACATAATGTGAAAAGTAGCATTGAACGCGTGCATTTGTGCTTGGATATAAGCATCTTTAAAATCACCATGGTGAATAAAATATCTGCACAGGTTGACTAAGATACAGAAGAAACTAGATTAAGTACACATATGATGATTCAAGAAATAGATACATCGCACAAAATGAAAAGTCAGAAAAAATACATGATGACTAACACAATAAAACAATCATATACATTGCACAAGAAGAAAAGTTAAGAAAAAGAAATCACAAATTTAATCTGCTCCCGTAAACAATGCCTCGTTTTATGGTATTAAAACGACAGATGATTTATTGGGATCTACATAACATATTTGAATACACTACTGTTGCGAAAGAATTTATTTAAAAAGATCGAAAGTAAGAAAGTTATTCTTAAATTCGCTCAAGCGACTTAAAGGAAAGCTTGAAAAACCAAATACTGTGACATCAGTTTAGTATACAATAATGCGTAATGATAAGTTATATAGAATAAACGAAAAAAGGGGAAAGAAAACAAGATTCTAAACCACAATTTAGTTGTAGATCATAAATAAAAGTAAAGCTACACATATTTTTTATTTAATTTATGATAATGGTTTCATTAAAACGGTTCATCAGCGCCATCGCTGTTATTTGACTAAAAGCACTGCGCGCGTTAAATTGAAATCAAAGCATGCATATTTGACGTTAGATTTGAAACGCGTTAATTCGATGATGTCATTTTCTGCAATAGGTTTTTTTTCACATGGAGTGGCCCATATATTTTCCTGTCAAGTTTGTCAATTTTATTGTTTCATGTTCCGACATGCCGGTGTGAAATAAAAACCGGTGTTTTCAGACTATTTGATAATATGTATGTCAAATGCTCAATCAATGATAAAAGCTGTGTTTGTCGTTTTGATTTTGGTCAAACAACCCGATAATTTAAAAAGGATTAAGTAGAAATGTCAGATTGTTTATTGCGAGTTGGTTTTTTTAAAATAATTTAGTACAGCATGAACTTATTTTTATGCCATAAGTGCGAACGAAATGAAATGATTTCACAGTGTTAAAATTGCATTATTGGGACTGGAAATGTTTCTTACTGCAGTTATGTGAAAGAATTGATAAAGTTGGTATGCATGTTTGTAAAATATCACTAGGAACTGACTGACTGATTAGTCCAACCTCCTTGTTAAACATTGCTGGTTACATTTGATAAACTACTGACCTTGGTATAGAGTTAAATGTGCATGAAATGTATGGCAACTGGTTAAAAGGACTTTGTTTCAAACTTTGGTTAGTAATTAATAAATGTGTCTTATTCTATTGTAGAACCACTATTTCAATTTAATATAACTCTTGTCCGAAGTAGAACCAACTCCACAAATCATCGTGTATAAATGTAATACAAGTTTGATAGTAAAAGAAAATATTTGATGGCGTTAGGAAACATACTTTCCATATTAATTTATCAGTATTTGATTTGTAAAGAATGCTAATTATAATGCATCATAAAAAATAAAATACTATTAAAATGATTAAATCCATTAATCCCTCATATCAGATTCTTATTTCCTGTTAAAGGAATAAAAATATTCTCTCCTACACATTGATTTGAAATTTCGAATAATGGTGATTATTCACAAGAATATTGGATAAACTAACAACATAACAACAAATAACAAGTGAAATAAATCCCTGTAAAAACTTAATGACATTGCAATAGCACGAACTGCACTGAAAGTTTTGAGAAATACATTGAATATATAATTATATCACGTTTTGACAAGATACGCTTAACACACAGTAAGTAAAAAAACTAATTTCAAAATGATTAGAAATGAACACTTGTAGTAGAAAGGTATATGATCATATAAAGCTTGTTATTACCTTGCATGACACCGCTCTCGCATGACTGTTCGGCGGAGACTCGACAGAGCCTCGTTACCACCGTAAACTGGTTACCATAAAGCATATTCCGATCTTTACGGACAGTCAAGTTAGGATTTTAATATTTCCAATAGTTATCTCATCATGCACAAGCATAATTTAGATACACTGATGCTTGTACGAAAATAATGTGGTTATAGTTGTTACCGTTGTATAATTGAC